TTTCGGGAGTTAATCTACAAAGATTTCTCTTAACCGAATAACCTCCCACTAACTATGGCATATACAAAGCATGATAAATTTCATGCAATAGCATCTTAATGTAATTTTACAAATAACTCATGCTATATTCATTTAATAATAGAATTCTAATAAATAAATAAATAAATAATCATGCTCCTCTAATTACAACATATTACAAACCCAAAAAAATATGTTGTATTTAATATTCAAATTATGTCATAACAGAAAGTATATCATATTGAAATTTTTTGGAATTTTTTGGTATTTTCTGGAATTTTAAATAACTAATAAACACACATAAAATCAGAAATAAATATTCCAGAACCTGATAAAATGCTATAACTATACCAGTAAATAGTAAACTACATCAATAGTCTACAATAAAAAATTCAGCCCCAGAAACTTAATCATGCAACACCAGATGCATTTTAAAGCAAAAATAATGCATTATTATTTCAGGAAAAATATTTTTTATTTTCATAAAATTTTCACAATTTTACAGAAGATATAAAATTTAATTCCGAGTCTAACGGTATCAACCATGCTTAAAACAAAGCTATACCAAATAAATTATGGCCAATTAACGCAATTCAGAATTAAAAAAAAAAACAAACAGAGCCTTAGAGTCAAGCCAGCGCGGAAAAAATGGCTCGGCTCGGCTGGCCGGATTTGCCAGATTTGGACTCTTTGGTTCAGATTAAGAACCGTGACACAAGTCGAGTCCGAACTGTAGTAACCCCAAATGAACAGAACGGGACTCATCCTCCCGGGGCGTTCGGGGACGTCTACAGCTGCGCACGTGGCGCGGCTCGAAACGGCACGGCTAACGCGCACGCGTGGAAGGGAGGGGACAGATCGCGCGTGGGAAGCGCGCCTAGCGCGTCTCAGCACGTGAAAGCGCGTGGTGGCGCGTGGCGTTGCTGGGCGGCGTCATACAGCCCGTGAATCACACGCGCCACCTTCCCGGGTGTTTTCTGGTTCGATTTTTTTACTGTCGGACTCCATTTTTCACAATAAAAACATTTATGGCATTAAAAATGACATTTAAACAACATAAAAATGAGGTATATCACTCTCTCAATCTAATGGAGTTAAAATGGAAAAAAACCGTGCACTTCATCTTCCTCCTCCATTAATATTCATGCATATATCATGTATATATATTTATATAAAAAATATACACATATTTTAATGGATAAAAATAAGCACGAAAATACCATATTTATGGCTCTGATACCAATGTAAATCAAAGTATAAAAAATGCACAATGTATATGATCATGATATGATAAATTATAGATACAACCGGATTCAAAACCGCTTTCAATTCAAAACAATCTTTTTAATTTTCAAAACAACAATATCAATTTCACAAAGTCATCAATTACATAAGTCTCATGTCAATACACAAAATAATCTATTACCTAAAATACACAAAATAATCTATTTAAGAATAAAACAACAGACACTCATCACAACTGAGCTCCAAAAATGAAGTAAAAGACTTAAATCAACATCAATACACTGGAAACAATATTAAAATTGTCGTTAATGGTTGATTGATAGTGAAACACTTACAAATGAAACAATGATATACGCAATTAATGTCTGCATCCAACATCTCACGTAGTGTTTACCTACCACTGATGTCTTCTATTGGACGTTGTTAGTTGAAAGCGTGAGGAACCACCAACCTCCATTCCTATATAAAAACATAAAATATACAATTGGTAAAATTTAATTAAACAAATTAAATAACAAATTTGAAAATGTTTGGTAGTCCAAGGCCAAAAAAAAAAAAAAAAAAAAAAAAAGAAAAAATGCTTTCGACATCACAAAGACGGATAGGAGCCACACATTCAATAGCACAAATCCAAACACACTCAAAGTGTTCAACATTATAGAACCATGCACACCCAAAGGGTTTCGATTTTACAAAGTAGGACAAACCAAAATGGTTCAATTTTGGAGTGCGAAACAGACATGATAGTTTTGACGAACCAGTGTCGAATGCTTTGTATCACTACAAGAAAAGATGGCAAAAAAGACGGAATTATTACCGACGGCGTGATCCCCGTCGCCAAAAATGGTATTTTGCGACGGCAAAATAAACCGTCGCAAAAAAGTAGTTTTAGCGACAGCATTTAACCGTCGGTAATAAACTGCACGGGCGAGTATTAAAATCAGGAACTATTAGCGACGGCAAGTGTTGAACCGTCGGGAAAAAAAAAATATTTGAGACGGCAAAAGTTTGCTGTCGCAAATACTCGGCCATTTGCGACGGCAAATGTCCGTCGCAAAAAATGATTATTAAAACGGCGTCGTTTATTAATCGTTTTGTATAATTTGCGACGGTGTAAACCGTACCGTCGCAAAAAGTAAAAAACAATTTTCCCCCCTCTTCCCTCTCATCTTGCCGCTCGGTTCCATCGCAAAATCCCTAAAATTGATTTGAAGCACAAAATCCCTAAAATCCCTAGCGGTGTCCGATAGAAATCCCTCTCATCTTGCCGCTCAATTTTCCCCCAAAATCCCCAAACCAGCGACGGGCGACCGGCGACGAACGGCGAAGGGCTAGCGGTGGTGCGGTGGTGCGGCGACGACGAACGGCGAAGGGCTAGCGGCGGTGCTTCGACGACGACAGCAACTCAGGTATGCTCTCTCTCTCTCTCTCTCTCTCTGTATATATATATATATATATATGTATGTATGTATTTTTTTTGTTGCATATATATATGTATTTATTTATTTTGTTGCATATATATGTATTACCTGTTGCATATATATATGTATGTATGTATGTATGTATTATATATATATATGTATGTATGTATTTTTTTTGTTGCATATATATATGTATTTATTTATTTTGTTGCATATATATGTATTACCTGTTGCATATATATATGTATGTATGTATGTATGTATTATATATATATATGTATGTATGTATTTTTTTTGTTGCATATATATATGTATTTATTTATTTTGTTGCATATATATGTATTACCTGTTGCATATATATATGTATGTATGTATGTATGTATTATATATATATATGTATGTATGTATTTTTTTTGTTGCATATATATATGTATTTATTTATTTTGTTGCATATATATGTATTACCTGTTGCATATATATATGTATGTATGTATGTATGTATTATATATATATATGTATGTATGTATTTTTTTTGTACAATCAGTTATAAAAACTTTATTGTTTTCGATGTTTTCATGAAACGAATTTTTTGAAACTCAGACAAGTGTTTAAAATAGTCCATTAAAATGCTCTGTTTCTAAGAAATTCGTAGTGTCATGTCAGTATGCATGGAAACATTAATGTTTCAAAAAGACTATAGAAAGAAACAAAAAAAGGAACTTGGAAATAAATGGAAACATTCGTAGATACAAAGGCAAAGGTGGAGGGAAATCTATTTACCATCCCTCAGACCCAAATGTAAACAGGAGCTTTGTGCATTGGATACGACCTTCTACCATTACATTCATAGATACAAAGGCAAAGGTGTAGAATCAAAAAGTAAATGTTGACGCGAGCAAAATTTCATGAGTAATATCAAATAAATCAATTTAATTGAAAGAAAATTTATATGATTCTAAAGGCGCATATAAATTTATATGATTCTAAAACTTGTAACAAAATCATTCTAAAGGTGCATATATCCCAACATCATACTAATATTGACGACAATGATAAGGTCTTCTATCATTTTTTCCCTTAAAATAAATAGAAGAACAAAAATAAATTTATGAGATACTAGATTTGACTAGACACAAGTTGTTGCTTCAGTATGTTTTGGAGTATTTTGCTATGTTTTGATGTCTTTCCATGACAACAGTAAAATTATATCAAAACAATAAAAATTTCATTTTTCCACTAGTACCTAATTACAATGTCTTAGGAATACAAAATTTTCAGTTTTTTCAATTAAAATAAAAGAAATTGTGTACCTTGGTAATCACCCGAAAAAAAACAAAGAAATTAACAAGAAATGTTTTTAAAAAATCTTGTTTATTTACAGAAGCAACACACCATAAATGAACTCTTAAAGAAGGGAAATTAGGAAGTAAAAATCAAATTTAGGGGAGTCCAGCCTGCAAAATCAATCTTCTATAAGGGCAAATCAAATTTAGTTGTCACATCTAGTTGCTAGGTCTCTATACACACAAAACTCTAGCTTCGATGATAGACAGAACAGAAGCATGTTAAAATATATTTATCAAAATAGACAAAAATGCAATGGATATGCTCAACAAATCAAGGGGAGTCCAACAAACATGAAGAATAAAACTTCGAAGAGTAAATTACTAAATTCATTGATTCTTCAGAGTAAAACCGAAGAAATTTTAAAAATGTGAAACCCTAGGTTTGCCTGAACAATAAACTCTCAAGATTAAACGCATCACCGAAATTTAGAAAACATTCGATATTCTCACCAAAATGAAGCTAAGTCTGTTTGCTGAGACGCTTCCTGAGCTTCCACTACTTGTGCTTGTTCATCTTCCTCTTTCGCTTCTTCTTCTTCATGCTATCAGCCCAGATCATCATCGGAGTGTCGCTAGCCACGAAAGGCACAAACCCAGTTGAAGAAATAGGGTTTAGAGAAAACCCAAATGGAAAGCTTGGAAAGATCGGGGTCGAAAGAGAAGAAACCGAATCCGAATCCGAATCGAGATTTACATTGTGGTTGTGGGGATGGAGTGGTTTGGGTTCGGTGAGATGGGGAAGAGTGAAGAGAGGAGGTATGAGATTCGGGGGATGTAGTTTATTAAAAGTAGGGATAATATATTTGACAGATTGCTTTGTAAGTAGTTTCTGGACAAGAGAAACCATTGCAGACTCGGGAAGAACTGAACAACAAGTACATATACAAATTTGTACAAGATTGAGAGAGAGAATACAGAGAGAGAGGGTGGATCAACATATGGAGAGACAGAGAGCGAGCTGGAGACACAGAGGAGAGACAGGCATTTTTTTATTTTCTTTTTCTGTTTTCCTGGCCCAAAACGACGTCGTTTTATAAATGGCGACCAATTTTTTTTTTTTGTCGCAAAAAATTTTCATTTTCCCCCTCCATGTTTCAAATTTCCCTCCCAAACTTTTGGCGACCAAAAGACAATATTGGTCGCAGAAAGTGTACCTTCGCCGACAAAATTTTTTAGTCGCCAAATCTCAATCAACGGCGACTAAAATATTAGTCGCTAAAAATATAATTTGGCGACTAATTTTTTTTTGTTGCTGAAAATAAGTTTTTGGCGACCAAATTTTTGGTCGCCAAAAAATATGTGACCTTCCGCGACCAAATTTGTAGTTGGTCGGCCAAAGCATACCACTTTTTGCGACCAACTCATTTTTTGGTCGCCAAAA